CAAATCAACGTGGTTTCAAATAAATCCAAAAATGTGAAATATTCTAGAAAATGCATTAAATCTTGTATTAAATATTGACAGGTGTAAATGTGGCCTGAGATACTGCAGACAACTGTTCCTACGGCATTTCTACAGTTCTTATGTTGACTTTACGCACCATTCTTCAAGCCCTATGGACCTCTAACTATGAAAACAGACACATGAGTGACATACAGACGCCCCCATTACATTTCAGACTACTTCCACCTCCTGCTTCCTCTTCTTTCCTTTTGCTTAAGGAGCATGACACCATTTCAATGACACCCCTCTGAGGGGGTCGTCCCACGACAGCGCACAGGAAACGAAGGCCAAACACAAAGTGCAAAAGGCTTTTCATTACAACACTTATACAGAGAAGGCAAATATTTGCTTTTCTGACTTTAGCTCTGAGGAAATAGGGCTGCACGATTCTGGCTAAGACGAGAATATATGCATTTTTATTTTATTAAAATCAAGATCACAATTTTCTCACAAAATAAAGGTTAACATGAGTAGGCTATTATTTTTGTTTTTTTCAAACATGTGGTAAAACAACAACTATAATATTAGGCCTATGTGTAGTTTTGTGTCATTTTGAATAGACTTGGAACAGTGCACTTGAACAGACTTTAAATGTGTCCTGGTTGTTAATTCATAGTAAAGTGATGCATCAGAATATAATTATTCACAAATCTTAAGTTTAATTATAGTGTATGCTTGCAATCTGTCATTGACAATATTATTAAACAAATTGTCACTGATAAAATGAGACATGTTTCATTATCATATTACCTCTTGCATTATATTTAATGTTATATAGGCTAGAGTAGTTAAACTGACACTGTTAAACATTTATTCTCATGCACAATGCTTTGTGTTCGCTATGAAAGAAAAAACATCAAATGCTCTTCGTAATCATAACTCTAATATGTGATATGATCCTTTAAATGATGTGCGCGCTTTCGGTTTTACTTTCACCGCTGAGTGCGTTCATGTCATGGCTGCCGTCACTTTAAGGGAAAAAAACATACTTGCAAATCATACTACCCACGCGGCTCTCAAATGATCACTCTGTGCTACATAATGAACATTACTTACAACTTTATTACCTGTTATTCACAGCCCATGCAGGTTCTGTTTGCACATCATTTGTGGGTAAGCGCGTGTCTCCTCAGTAGTAAAGAAACGTCAGCTCACAGGTCATTCATGGCCACGAAAACATTGTTACATTAAGACTGAAATGACATTTTTTGGGTGCATTATACCTAATTAATACAGTACGTGACTATTTTAACACTATTCGGAGATGTCCGTGTTGATGAGCAACATATGTAAAACAATGTGAAGACTTGAGCGACCTTCTTTATTCTTCTCCTAAACTTGTAAATAATTGGCGGAATCGTAGAGAATCTGGATTAAGATTGTGTGGGGGGTCGAATCGAGATCAGGATCTTTTTTTGGTTAACCATGCAGCCCAATGAAATGCACTTCTTTTTTTGTAATTTGAATAATTATATAACCAAATATTAAAATTTGCCAAGGATTAGAAGGTAAAATCTTAGGAATTGGTCACTTTACATTTTCACTGACCATATTGAGACTACCAATTTTAAGATTATGGCTAATTTAATTGCCATCATACCAGTTCACTTTGCATCCCCATCAAAACCTTACAAAAGTGATTATTTAAAAGTGGATAAATAATGTTCCATCATCACTCAACGTAACATGTAGCTATGCAAAAATTAAACTACATATTTATTATAACATGTACTAATTAAAATAGAGTTTAGTTGTATTTTGGGAGTTCTAAAGTGTTATTTCAATGCACGATAATGTTTAAGAAATATATCATTTTATTTTTATGTCATCAAATATTTTGCGTACTGAATATGCCTGATATTGTTTTGTACATAAACTGTTAGATTAAAAGACAGTGAAATGAAATAGAAGGAATTGACCGAGGGCGTGTCTGAAGTTGGGGCTGACACAATTGTCATAGCAGCGTCAGCCAATGAAATTAGTCCGCAATTGGTTACAGTCTAAGCTGAGGTATTTGCATAAAGTGATCTGATTGGCTGACACTTCTGTTGGCACTTAAAAGGTTAAGAAATCCTCAACTTTTGCTGCGAACAACACCACTGAAGGGTAATTCTAGATCTGATACGCGGCCAGCTGGAAGTGCGATATGCACATTAAAATAGCAACATATTTTATGATGATGTTTAACAATAATTAACATTTTTATAGTACTGTGATGGTTGGGTTTAGGGTTGGGGTGGGGGTAGGCGTTAAAAAAATACAATTTATTGGGTAATTTAATAGATTGCATAAGTAATACTCGGTACAACTACTGTTTTTACGTTACTGTGACGGTTTTAGGGTTGGGAGGGGCATTAATAGACATTAATAAAATACAATAAATGGGAAATTTAATAAATAATTCTTGTTAACTTTCGGCCACAACTGTATCTAGCAACAACCCTAAACTAGCGGCTACGGCTCCACAATTCAGTTCAGCATTGATTGAAATCCCCCATTCAAAGTGTATGGGAAGTGTTGACGCTGACGCCCCGTGTAAATGGGGTGTTACTTTGTTAACACGATTAGAAACCTCATACTAATTGTGTCTTTTTTAAAATATGCAGGTGTTGGTGGTTCTGTTACTGTATCAGTAGATTAACAGGTTTATTGATATTTCGTCATAACCAAAGCCCCTCACTGCTGCCCCACATCTCCTCAAACTGGGTTACGTTTGACACTTTCTGCGAACATTCCAGACATATTTCCACTAGCCGTGTATGTCATAAACGTGTTCCCAGAAAAGTGAGTTCTGTCCCAAGACTCTCCGCGCAAAACCACAGCCTCGACCTCCAAGGCTAAACTGTAAAGACTCACCAGGGATTCATTCACTTCCTCCAGCCACTGACTGCAGTAAAAACAGTGAACAGACTGATGAAATATAATTCAGCTTCTGAAATGCCAAGCAGTTGTTGAAATAAAAAAAGATATGTCCCACTTTGCTTTAAGTGCTGTATACTACTGTGCATTTACATAAAAGCTAAATAATGCAGTGTAATTAATTAATATACTTATTGTGTTTATCACACAACACTTATGCTATTGCTATTGAGGTGTAATATGGGTAAGGTTAGGAACATGGTTAGTGGTAGGTTTAAGGTGTTGAGGATGGGTTAAATTACAGCTGTCATGTTTTTTAGATACTAGAACATGAAAATATGCATCTTCCTGTAGCTCAAATGTGAACTTGAAACACACTTATGTCTTTGATTGAGATTTATACATCCTACACTCAGAAAATTATTTTTATTATTTAAATAAGGCTAAAACACAATTCTACATTTTTTTGAGAGGGGGGACAACTTAATTGTTTTATGTTTGATCCACTTAATTTTGTAAAAACTAATAAATTAACTTCATGTTGTCCCAACACGAATCGATTGTGTGGGACAGTGCATTTTCACAGTGTGAAGCTTTACATTGATGTACAGTTTGTTGGGTTTAGATAATATATGGCATATATGAGATGAGACTGTGTGATTATCCGGAGTTCAAAATCATCTTTAATGTTGCCCAATTTAAGTTTGCAGCAATGCATTTCACTGATCAAAAAAGTTTTGATATGTGTACTGCAAGAAATGTACAACATGTCTTCAGAGAACATGACCCTTACTTAATATTCTAAAGATTTTTGGCATAAAAATAAAAATATAACTTTAATAAGACTTTGGCACATAATATTTAAAGCCACTAAATATCAAACCAAAATATATAACACTGAATACTGTTGCTCTGCAAGAGTCACCACAGTGGATGAACACACATATATCATGGGGTTATGCCAACGTTTGCAGACTGACAAAGGCATCTCGGTGTCATGCTAAAAATACATCAAAAAGCCAGCCGGAGGGTTTTTAATGCACCCAACAAAGCCCTGTTGATCTCAACCCTTCTTGACCTCGGGGTCTGGTCTCTGGAAGCATTGCACTTGCTCCGTAAACAGATGGCAGAACACTTTTAGCTGAAATCTGCACAGACTCATTAAAGCCCGGTCTAATCTCAGCCAGCGGCACTAAAGGACAGCCACTCTAAACTGAGAATGTTTTCGGTGGCTCTGAAAGTCACCCTGCTCTGTTTTAATGGCACACAATCATGCTGCTGAATACATGTAAGGTCTATATTTGGCTTTCCCGGTCTGATCTTGGCAAATGCACAGTTTGATGCAAGAGCATATTAACTGGAAGCTTGTGTGACACTGATGGAGCAGTGGTGATAAACTGTAGTCTGCTGCCCTCAGAGTAAATGGCCATCTCTTACTTCAGCTCAGGTTGAACTACATGCAGTCTCAAAGCTGGCTGTCAAACAATACATTCATCTGTGCAACATCAAAATAATGTTTTGGTTGAACTTTTCATAAGGTTTCCTAAACACATATACACATTTAGCACTGTATTGAAAGGCAGGTAAATACAAAGGGTATTATAATAATAAGAATATACATCCTGCAAATATGCTTAGAGTTTATTTTAATATTTTTCAGCAGTAATAATATTTATTCAGTTAAATTTATATATATATATGTGTGTGTGTGTTTATATATATATATATATATATATATATATATATATATATATATATATATATATATATATA